AAAAAAGTTTGTAGAGCGGTAAATTCCCATAAAAACAGCTAGGCCCAGCGTTGCCAGATGATCAAAATGAAATTACCGTACCTGCTTGGTAAAAATTACCGTATTTAAGAAAAAATTACCGTACATTTGAAAATAATATATTTAAAATATAAAAGCAACAAAATTAAAAAATATTTTTTATTGAAAACTTAAAATAAATAAAAGTTAATTTAAATAAAAAACATTTAACAAAACAACTCAAAAATGCAGCCCATAATTTTCTCCAAGAATTTCATTCTAATTCTAGATATATGAGCTGGACTTTTGGAATATCGATTACTTTCTGCCAAAGTACCTATCGCAAGCCACATAACTCAAATTTCGGTAATTGTCTGTTTTAAACCATATATAACGTATAGGTTTTATAACAAGTAAATAGCCATAATTATAAGCTATTTAATTGTTATAAAACCTTCGGGCTATAGGTATTTAATTTAAAACAGACTTTAAAAGAAAAAATGTTTTCAATTCCCGAAATTTGAGTTATGTTGCTTGCGATACTTTGGCAGAAAGTCATCGATATGTATACATTGTTATTAATTATTTTTTTATAAGTATATACTTATAAAAAAATAATTAATAACAAAAATCACAGGGCAAATGAAACTTAAAATTAATAATAATATTATTATTATTCGATTAAAAACTCATCATCATTATCTTATGCAGCTGAATCCGAGATGGCGCTATATTAATTTAAATGCACATACTTCCACTGTGTGGAAGTATGATAATAATAATAATAATAATAATAATAATACCGTTTATTTGTTCAAAAAATACCATAATACAATAGTGTAGAACATGTCAAAAAAAAAGAGAAATTAATTAATACAAAATCATTCATAAAATAAAGTGTAAATATACATAACAACAAAAAAAACAATAAAGAAATTGTATTAAACAAAAACATGTGTTATTGTTTGTTTGGGTCGGCCTTGACATTCCATAAATCAAAAGATTGAATTTGTCGGTCATTCATGAATTCTTCAGTGTGATAATAACATTTCTTCGACAATACAAGTCTCAGACGATTCTTTAATTTTTTGAGTGGAAGTTCTCTTACGATAGCAGGTAGGTGGTTATATATTTTTACTATTTTATAGCAAACATTTTTTTGTAGATAGGAAAATCGTATTAAATCTGTTGTTAGGTTTTGCTTGTATCTTGTACTATAAATATGATCTTGACTGTTAAACAAGTCCTCATTTTTTTTAATGAACATTACTGCTTCATATATGTATAGGCCAGCAAGTGTCAGGATATTATTGTTTAAAAAATAAGGCTTGCAAGATGTCATTTGACTTAGACTGAGTATATTTCTTAAGCATCTTTTTTGAAGAACTTCAATTCTGTATAGATCAGTCGAATTGTACCAGAAAATTATTCCATATCTAAGCTTAGACTCTACATATGCATTATACATCGTAATTGCAGCTTTTTTGTTTACATGTTTTGAAATTACGCTTAGTCCGTAGATATCTTTGGCCAAGGATTTTGCTAGGTTATTTATATGTACTGACCAGTCAAGCCTATGATCAATATATACTCCTAGGAATTTGGCAGACTCCTGTGTTGATAGGATGCTATTATTTCTGGTAAGTGTTAACTTTTCGTAGTTTTTCCAAAAAGAAAAATTAATTATTTGTGTTTTGTTTACATTTAATTTTAGGCTATTGTTGGTGGACCAGTTTTCCATGTCATCTAGTGAGCTTAGTATTTTATTTTGAAGATTTTCCATTGAGCTTTCCTTTATAATAAGTGTGGTATCATCCGCATAGGATACAACAGGAACATTGATGTACTGAGGTAAGTCGTTTGCATATATAATGTATAATAGGGGGCCTAAGATTGAACCTTGAGGTACACCCTTATCAATTATTTTGAAATCGGATTTTAATTTTAAGCCTTCAGCTGATTTTCCTATTACACATTGTTTTCGGTTATTAAGATAGCTTGAGATCAGTTTTAGGGCTATTCCTCTTACTCCATAGCATTCCAGTTTCTGTAGTAGTGTTTTATGACACACACTATCAAAAGCCTTTGATAAGTCAATGAATACAAGTGATGTTTTTTCGGAATTATTGAGTGCATCTAATAATAATGTCATACTTTGAAATATGGCTCTAATAGTTGATTTACCCTGTCTGAATCCGTTTTGCGTTTTAGATAGTATTTGCTTTTGTTCAAAATATGATATTAGTCTATGATATATAATTTTTTCAAAGACTTTACTTATGTTTGATAAAAGTGCTATTGGTCTGTAGTTTCCAATATTGGTTTTGTCTCCTTTTTTATAAATTGGCAATACTTCTGCAGTTTTTAATAAATCTGGAAAAATTCCAGAATTTAAAGATATATTTATTAAATGAGTTAATGGTGGTAGCAGTTCTAAGGCTGAATTTTTAAGTATTTTTACCGTTATGTTGTCAAAGCCAGCTGCAGTAGTATTCTTAAGATCCATTATCAAATTATAGACTTCAGTATAGTTGGTAGGTTTTAAAAATATTGAATAATTTGTAGTTTTTAGTCTTAATAAGTTATTAACAGTTTCATGACCACATTGATGGATGAAAAAATTATTTATTTCATTTAATGTTGAGGTTGGATCATTAATATTTTTCTCTTTAAAACATTCTATTAGAGATTCTTGGTTTTTAGTTTTATTTGCAGTTGAGTAATTTTTTATAATGTTCCACATAGCTTTTCCTTTATTTGATGACATTTCAATATATTTTTCATCAGATCTAAGCTTGGCTGCATGAATTACTTTTTTTAAGACTTTACAATATTTTTTATAAAATTCAAGACCTATTTTACCATTTATTTTTTGCATATAAAGTTTTCTTTTGTTCTTAGTTGATATCAAAATTCCTTTGGTAATCCATTTTTTATTATTTTCTTTTATAACTTTTTGAGGAAATATTTTATTAATTGTCAGTGACACTATGTTATTAAATAAGCCATAAGCAGTATTTAAATCATCACAATTATAAACTTGTGACCAGTTTTGCAATTTCAATTCTTCCTTAAAGTATAACCTTTTTCTGCTTGTAAAAAGTCTTTTGTATTGATTTTGATTGTTTTTTTTATTTTCAGGAATTTTAATTTCCAGTAGCTGAGCATGGTGATCAGAGAGCGCCGATACAATGACTTCACCTTGGACAAAATTCTCAAAATTAACAAAAATGTTATCAATCAATGTAGATGATCCCTTATACTCTCTTGTTGCTTTAAATATAGTTTGGTAAAAATTATAAGATTTCAATAAATCTATAAATAATTTAGTATTTTTATTATTGTCAAATAGATTTAAATTAAAGTCCCCGCAAATGGCAATTTTGTAGTTTTTAAACCATTTTGTTAGATTAATGAGAAGCTTTTCTAGTTTTTGAAAAAAAACCTCTTTTGAACCAGAACATGGTCTATAAATGCATATTATAGTCACTTTTTTATTTTTGCTAAATACACTTGAACACTCCATAATACCTTCTTCATTTATTTTGTCAAGTTCTGGTCCATTCTGGTACTCAGAGTTATTTTTAACATAAATATTAGATCCTCCACGAATTTGTGTTGTTCTGCAGAAGCTGGAGATTAATTTATAGTTTTGTATTGTTACATAATTTTGTTCTTCCCTTGTGCACCAGTGTTCAGTTAAGCACAGTATCTCAGGAAATTTATTTAAGTTGTTGAAAAGAACATTTATGTCTAGTGTTTTCGTTTTTAAGTTTTGTATATTTTGATGAAATACATAAATAGTGTCTAATGTAGTTTTATTTTTTGTGTTTAAGTGTTTGTTTTTGATGTTTGTGCAGATTGAAAATTTGTTTGTGTAGTATTGTTACCTTTATTTTGGTCCTCTCTAGAAAAATAGTATCTGCTATAGCCTATACCACTTGGCCAAAAGTCCGGTTTATATATTTCCTCTAACAGATCATAATCGGCGCCAATTTTAAAACATTTTGTAGTTTTCCTATTGACCTCAACTTCCTCTATGATAAACTCTCTTTCTTTTAAGTTGTCTTTATCATTAAGAAACTGAGTTATGTCCTCCTTTACCACGTCTTTGTTGACCCTTGATATAAAAAGCCAAACTTTTTTGGGTGTACCTTGAAATTTATTTCCTGACTTATTTGATCCATAGCTGATCTTCTTTAGTTCAGATGTTTTTTGAGCCAGTTTTTTCTCTTTGTGAGTGTCTTTGTTTATATTTATTAATTCATTCATTTTTGTTTTTTGTGCATCAATTATATCTTTATATGAAGATTTGGTGGCTGTGCTATACAGTTTTTCTGCATTGGGTTGTATTTCTCTATTTTCATTTATTAGTGGATCTTGATGTGATTGACTTGATGATTTTTCTTTTTTCTTTGTTATTGTTTTTTGGTTATTGTGTTCTTGTTGTTTATTTACTAACTTTTCTTCTTGCAATGTTATTATTTTCATTTTATCATTTATGATTGTAGTTTTATCCAATATTTGATCTTTTAATAACAATATGTGTTTAAATGTATAGAAAAACCATAGACAAAAGAAGGAAAGGACCATAAAGGTTTTTCTATAGACAATAAACAAATAAAATAAAAAAACCAATAATAAAAAAATATTGTTAATAATATTATGTATGAAAATATGTCAGTTAGTAAATTTACCGTACATTTGTGTACGGTATTGAGGTTTGTACCGTATACCGTATTTTGATTCAAATTACCGTACAAATACGGTAATTACCGTACGAATGGCAACGCTGGCTAGGCCCTGCAGTGCAGGCCCTGCACAAAATAAATATGAAAGAAATGTATATTTAACTTTTGTGTAAGTTATGTTATGTTGGTTGTCTAACATTAGATAAAACGCCATCTATGAAGCAATAGCAGTAGCTTTGGATTACATAACAAATGTTGCCAACTTTTTAAATTCTTTTTGGGCATGACATAACCTACAATACTTCATTATTTCAAAAAGCCAAAAAAATACAAAAATGACGATATTTAAGCTACTAAACTCACCGCTTTATGTATCCAAAGCATCGAACATACTTAAAAATGGGTTTAATGTAAGTATTAATCTATATATACTGAGTTTTAATGACTTAACCTTTCTTTTTATATTTTAGAGTAATTCGAGGTCTATGTCTAACTACAGCAAATTTTCCGAACACAAAAAGCTAAATCTCATAAGAAACATCGGAATTTCCGCCCATATTGACTCAGGGAAAACCACATTAACAGAAAGAATCCTTTTTTACACAGGTCGTATCGAGTCTATGCACGAAGTTAAAGGTAAAGACAATGTAGGCGCTACAATGGACTCCATGGAACTGGAACGTCAAAGAGGCATCACCATACAATCCGCGGCCACGTACACAATGTGGAAAGATCACAACATCAACATAATCGACACACCAGGTCATGTTGATTTCACAGTTGAAGTTGAGAGAGCTTTAAGAGTGCTAGATGGGGCTGTTTTAGTGTTGTGTGCTGTGGGTGGAGTGCAGAGTCAGTCATTGACTGTCAACAGGCAGATGAAGAGGTATAATGTGCCCTGTTTGGCTTTTATAAATAAACTTGATAGGATGGGGGCCAATCCACAAAGGGTATTGTCGCAAATGAGGTAAGGAAATTGTTATTAGAATGAAACGTAATAGTTATTTAATTCCATAATTTACCCGATTTAAATCAAGTGATTTTTTAATTTTAATCAATGATTTAAATCAGTTTTAAAAAAGTTTCTAAAATCTAAAAAAACCTCGAAATAAACACTTAAAAGACCTAAAACTAAAGCACAATATTATCTTGACACTATTTAAATAAATTCATATGCATAAAAAAACTGCTTATTTTGTTAAATAAAATAATAGAGGAATATACAAAAAAATATATGACAGTTGCCAATTTAATATTATTATAGTCAAGTTCATAAACTAAAAGTTATTTTTAGTATTTTTTTAAGGTAGAAGAGTTTTCATAGAATGTCTTCAAAATTTAATATATGATTGTGTCTCATCAGATACAAAAATTAATTATAACTAGAGATGTAAAAAAACGGTTTTTTTTCAGATGTGAAAAAAAACATGAAAAAAAACCCAGAAAAAAAAACGGTTTTTTTTGTTTTTTTTCAAAATGAAATTTTGGGTAAAATATATATTAATAATAAAGTGAAATGTAGAATATATTAAACTTTTCATTATTGAAAATTTTGACCGGGACTAAAAAATATGATTTCTTATTTGGTAGTTTCCACATTAGAAACCAGTAGCAATGTAAAACTTCTACACGAATACAAAAAATTAAAGGATAAAAAAAATTGTTTTGCGATTCTTCGGATAGCTGTATCTTTGTTAAAAATGGTCGTATTGGAGCCGTAAAAAAGCAATTTGAAGCTTGAACTTTCTAGTTTTGAGATTTTTAGATGAAAAATGTGCAACGCTCAATCCTAACAAAACCGTAATAAAAAAAATCGATTTTTTTGGCTTTCTGGTCCACGGAATGCTCTGACTTAACCACCAATGAATAAATGACCTACAAAAATTTGCTATAGTTTTGAAAAAAAAATTCCATATTCTACATGAGTTTAAAAAATCATGAAAAAAGTGCTTTTGGTAGCTTTTTGAAAAATCAAGCGCTGAATCAAAAATATTATATGTAGTTACTTTTTTTAGGATCAAATCAAAACAAGCGCGGCCCTTATTGGTCAATTTGGTGGTGGTGGCGCGTGCATAGCGCGAGACAGTATTTACATTTACTAATTGTCATTTAGTGGCTAATTTTAGCCCATGAAACCTAAAAAATTAGGCAAATGGGACTAATCTTGAAAAAAAACCTAAAATGTGAAAAAAAACCATTTGAAAAAAAACAATGAAAAAAAACCTGAAAAAAAACAAAAAAAACGGACCGTTTTTTTTCAAGTCGCATCTCTAATTATAACAGTATATTTTTTTATGAAAATCTTACAAAACAATTTTTAGCACTTCTTAAAATAGCCAATTCAAATTTCGGGCTGCAAATATGACAGTTTTTAAACCTTAATTTTGACATTATAACAACAAATTTACAATTGATTCTGTTACTTATTTTACTTTTTATGTTGTTTTTAGTTTTTAATGATACTTTAATTTGTAAGAAAAAATTAATTTGTTTATTAAAATACAACGTTTTATTTTTACTACATTGGCACTACTGAGTTTGCTGTCAGTCTAATGTTATTTATTTATCACCTTTATAATCTGTGTTTATCACTCTTCAAATGGAGATACCTTATTATTATTTATATTTAAGCTTATATTGACATTCTTAAGACAGCTAAACTTACCTATGGGTATTTCTAGCATGTCCTGATTTTTGGTTAATGGTCCTGAATTTTCTAAACACTGTCCTGTAAACCCAATCTTTGAACCTGGCAACCTTATGTAGTCAGTAATGGTAGAGTAATATTAATGCAATTTAAATTTTGATACCTATAAGAACTGCAGGCATGCCTAAAATGACCAAACACTCCAAAAATGTCTTAAAAACTATCTAAAATGATTGAAATTGTAAAAGAACTTTCTAAAATGACCCAAACTGCATTAGAATTGACCAAAAAATGTTCCCAAACTAAATGACTTAAATTGTATTGCAACCGCCTAAAAATGACCTAAAATTAAGTTTTGGTATAAAATAAAAAGTGCAAAAACTACAAATGGGCTTGTCTAAAAAAACTATCAAAAATGCCCTAAAACTAAAACAACAAAAAATGTCCCAAACCAGTTTTAAAATTATGTTTATAAAGTAATACATAGAGAAAGCAACTCTATGGTAATAATTAAAAACAACAAAATCTACTCCCCCATTGACTTTATGGCGTTTTAGTCACCGGCTGAAGTTAGCAACAGTGGCTTTTATGTATTTTAGTCACGGTCTGAAGTTAGCTTTAATATAAATTTGGAAAGTGAGGTTAAATCCGTTGACATTTGACAGATGTCAAATGTTTAACAAATAAAATTGGCTTTAAATTCTTCTTTGTATTCGTCGTAGATAAAGTACCTATAGTGTGCAACTCATTCTATAAACTTCTCTCGTAACTAAAATGGCGTTTATAAAACTGGATACATAATTTACCATTTTATACATTTATTTTAGATCCAAAATGAACCACAATGCGGCTTTTATACAGCTCCCCATAGGAGTGGAAAGCAACTGTAAGGGTATCATAGACCTCGTCACGCAAAAAGCCGTAATCTTTGAGGGTAGCTTTGGGGAAGAATTAAGGTACGACGAAATCCCGAAGGAAATGAGAACGGAATCGGACGAAAAAAGGCACGAATTAATCGAGCATTTATCTAACGCCGACGAAAAGTTGGGTGAATTATATTTGGAGGAAAAACCTATAAACGAAGAAGACATTAAGGCTGCCATTAGAAGGACCTGTTTGAAGAGATCTTTTACGCCCGTTTTGGTGGGTACAGCGTTAAAAAATAAGGGGGTGCAACCTTTGTTGGACGCCGTTCTCGATTATCTACCCAACCCAGGTGAAGTGGAGAATTTTGCGTTGAGAGAAAAAGACGGGGAAGAACCCGAAAAGGTTTCATTGAATCCCGCAAGAAGTCCGGATAATTCTTTCGTAGCTTTGGCGTTTAAATTGGAGGCTGGAAAATTCGGGCAGCTAACATACATGAGGTGTTATCAGGGTATGTTGCAGAAAGGCGACACAATCTACAATCAAAGGACGCAGAGGAAAGTTAGGATCGCTAGGTTGGTACGCCTGCATTCCAACAACATGGAGGATGTGAACGAGGTTTATGCCGGCGATATTTTTGCGTTGTTTGGTGTCGATTGCGCCAGTGGTGACACCTTTGTAACGGACCCGAAGTCAGATTTGTCGTTGGAATCCATTTTCGTCCCCGACCCGGTCGTATCCATGGCTATAAACCCCGCGAATTCCAAGGATAGAGATAATTTTTCGAAAGCCATCGCCAGGTTTACGAAAGAGGATCCAACTTTTCACTTTTTCTTCGATAATGACAACAAAGAAACCATCGTGTCAGGTATGGGTAGAGATGTGACTTAAAAAAAGATATGTTTTTTTTTGTTTTTTTTTCAAATGGTTTTTTTTCCTATTTTAGGTTTTTTTCAAGATTAGTTTCATTTGCTCAATAATAAGAAATCAAATTTTTTAGTCTCATTTAGGGTTTTAAAATTTCCGGAAAAATTGAGGCGGCGGAAAAAAAAACCGGTTTTTTTTATAAAAACGGAAAAATTGGGAAATTTTCAAAAAAATTGCCATTTGCATTTTTTAAATTTTATTCAAATTGACGAAAAAATGCCAAAGTCAATTTTTCTGAACATTTAAAAAAAAATCGGTTAATATCCGTACACTGATATCGAGAAAAAAGTAAATTTCTGACGCTGATTATAATCATAATATTATGATTGTAATAATTATTCCATTTATTTTAATTTAGTAAAAATATTCTACCGGGCCGCAAAAAAATTCGGTGCTGTATAAACATAACTTTTATTTAACACTTCGGTTTATACAATTATTTTGTAGTTGGATATTTTTACTCCCCTAGTCTCAGTCAATATTTTCAATAATGGTAAATGTAATATATTCTAAATTTCAATTTATTATTATTATACATTTTGCTCAAAATTGTTTACAGAAAAAATACTCCATTTTTTAAGATTGATGATATTTAGGGTTCCCAGAATTGTTTTGTACTTTTTTTATGATTTTATGACAATTTTTTATGACAAGAATTTATTCTTTCCAAAGTTATTTTAACAAAAAATTTTTTAACGATCGATTATCGAATAATTCGAGTATTTGAATAGAGGTGGAAATCGATTAAAAATTATTTGAATATTCGAATATTCGAGTACTCGAATATTAAAACACATTAAATCAGTATATGTAAGGGTGGTGCAAAAAAACTTTTTTCGAATATGTTGATTTATCATTTTATTAACAAATTAAGAGCTCTCATCAAAAATTATGTGATTTTGAAAATTACAAAAATAATCAAATTCGAATTAAAAATAATAATTTTTTGCCACAGAAAATTTTTGTAGACAAAAAGTTAATGAGTTTTAGCTTAAAAATTAATTTTTAAAGGTCGCTCACAAATTTAAAAAAATTTCAAAAAAAATCGATATAGTCGCTTTGTTTTGGACACTAGCGAAAAGTAATTAGTAATTATTAATTACTCATTAATAGGCAAAATTTGCGGCAGCCCGCTGCTTTCACGTGAAATTTTAATTTAGAATTTCTAGCTAAAAGCCCCAAATCCGAAGGTATATCTAGGGTGTAAGTAGATTTTGCTTCAGAGCTAAAATTTTAAGAAACCTATTACAAAATTTTACTGTGGCACGCAAAAAAATGTTCGAATTTTTACCAAAAAATTGTTCGAATTTTAAGCCAAAATATTTAACCATTTATTAAATTTTTAAAATTATTTTGCGACCATTAATTTTTTTTAATCAATTAAGCTGATTTTTAAAGAGAGCTTTTAACGCATGATAAACTAATATTATTTCATAGGAGACTCGAAAAAAACGTATAGCCTAGAGCAGGGTGGAAGAAGGAGGTGATACATCTCTATCCCGGAAATCGGCCAAATAACTCAGTATTTGTTAAAATTTTCAATAGATGGCGCATTTGAAGTAGAAGTTATCCCGATGCACAACAAACTTTTCCCATTTTTAGTAAAATTGCATAGATTAACTTCAAAGACCACTAAGCTTAATTAAAATTCAAATAAAACCATTTTAACGTTCTGCAAATTATTATAATAATGCTGTAAGAAAAGATGTAATTTCCGTTAAGGAGGGTAGAAGACTCTCTTGAGTTTTCGTTATCTTATAATTTGTTGTTAAAAGTTAAGTTGTTATAGAATATATGGATTTCGTTGGTAAAACCTTAGGTTCTTAGTTGACTCGCCATCTAACGAACAACGAACGAAGCACTGACTTATCTGGACGCCTGCTTCTGTACTGTAGAGATAGGAGCTAATAATTATTATTATAATTTGATAAGCAAAATACAGATACAATATTAAATATTCTAAGAAGTTTTTATTAAATCTCTAGATTGGCTCAAAAATCTCTAAAACTCGTTAAACTTCACTGGACCTGGTAAATATTTTAATATTCGAATATTTAAATACGAGCCCTAACCACATAATGTTCGGACACTTCATAATTTATACAGAAATTTTTTTCGTGAATACTATCTCAAAATTATTAGAAGTTATGAAAAATTCAGCTTATTTTGGCATATACCCCTCGAAGCGATTTTTATTTTTAAAAAGTTTACCTTTTATTTTTAGCTTTTAAAAAAAGGCTAACTTTTTAACTTTTTTTTGCATGAGTAAAAAAAGTTATAAATGGGCCCATTAAAAAGAACATAAAATATTATACAAACCCTGAAAATTTAGTAAAAATTGTATAAATAATAAGAAAGTTATAGCGATATATATATCTGCAAAATCTCCCGTTTCCTAAGAAAATTGCAAAAACTCTTTAAAAATAGCATTTTTAAATTACTTATACTTTTTTATAACTTATTTATTTTTTACCAAATTTTCAGGGTTTGTATAATATTTTATGCTCTTTTTAATGGGTCCATTTATAACTTTTTTTACTCATACAAAAAAAAGTTAAAAAGTTAGCCTTTTTTTAAAAGCTAAAAATAAAAGGTAAACTTTTTAAAAATAAAAATCGCTTCGAGGGGTATATGCCAAAATAAGCTGAATTTTTCATAACTTCTAATAATTTTGAGATAGTATTCACGAAAAAAATTTCTGTATAAATTATGAAGTGTCCGAACATTATGTGGTTAGGGCTCGTATTAGATTATTTGAATATTCAATGTGTACTTGATATTCAAATATTCGAATATACGAGTAGGTACACGAATATTCGAATACAAGAATATTCGAAATAATTTTCAAACGAGGATTCAAATTTCTAAAACTAAAAAATTCCCAGCTTTAGTTTATTATATAAAAAATATTTTTCTCTCATGAAAATAAATATGTCTTCTATATATTAAAACGAATAGATACACTTAAATAAAACAAGTGCCAAACCCCGCCCACTGTAGATCAAACTGCATGCCCTTGTATCTGGCTGCATGCCGCGCTGTTGCCATATGCTATTATTGTTTTCTAAAAGGGTTGTTTTTCTTATTTTTTAATATTAAAAGTAAGAAAATTAACTAAATCAAATTATTTTTGACATATTATTAATTTTTTTGTTATTTTTAAAGTTTCAAACAAATAAAATTGAACTATTTATTAAATCGTTCTCTTCTGATTTAAAACAACCTTGCAACTATGGTTCGTAATTACGAATGGCTTGGTTTAAACCACGCCCAATTAAAGTTTGTTTCTTTTTCTCTGATCAGAATATAATTTGTCATCCTTGTCTCCAGCCTTACTTACTTGATTCTATACAGTCTGTATATATATACAGTGTGTCGCATTTAAGATGAAGACACCCCCATATTTTCGCTATTTCAAGGAATAGAGATTTGAATTTTTTCACATTCATACATGTTGGTGGGTCACATTTTTTAAGATACTCAACTGAAATCTGAACTTTAAACTTGGCCTACTACGAATTCACAAACGGGGCCAGTTGTCGATATTTTGCTTCGCGTTAGAAATATCGAAAAAAATTATTAGAAAAAGTTGTTCAGAATATTATTCTTACCTCGTATACCGATTTTCATAGCAAAATTCGCATTTCTAATTTATTTATTTTTATTAGTTTTATTATTGTTTTATACCATTTCCTTAATTTAATAAATTATAATTGATTTGTAATTTCCAAAAATTGTTTTAATTATTTATTTAATGGTCATAAACACTAGTTAGTATCAAATTATTATTACTTTCCATGGCTCCCTTATTATCAAACTAAAAAATGAACTTGTAATAATTTTGGGTGGACCAAAATAAAAAAAATTAAAAATGCGAATTTTGTTATAAAAATTGGTAAATGGGGTTAGAATATTATTCTGAACAACTTTTTCCAATAACTTTTTTCGATATCTCTAAAGCGAAGCAAAATATCGAGAACTGGCCTTGTTTGTGAATTTGTAGTAGGCCAAGTTTAAAGTTCAGATTTCAGTTGAGTATCTTAAAAAATGTGACCCATCAACATGTATGAATGTGAAAAAATTCAAACCTTTATTCCTTCAAATAGCGAAAATATGGGGGTGTCTTCATCTTAAGTGCGACACACTGTATATCCAGTTACTCACTTATTTACTTTTTAAAATATTTTTCGCCTTCCTTTCATAAAATAACGAATAACTTTACTGTTCATTTCAAATTTTGAAATTTAAAATTCATTTCCTAACCTAACTTAATCTTAAAATCTTCATAGTATAAAGTTCATACGTCAACAACCAAGGCCGTATTTAAAACATTTTATTGCATTTTTTTTTGAAGATTTTTTTTTTTAAATCTGAAAATTGTTTTTTACATCTCTAGGTATGGGCGAGTTACATCTGGAAATCTACGCGCAGAGGATGGAGCGCGAGTACAACTGCCCGGTGAGCCTGGGAAAGCCCAAGGTGGCCTTCAGGGAAACCCTGGTCTCGCCCTGCGAGTTCGACTACCTGCACAAAAAGCAGTCCGGCGGTCAAGGTCAGTACGCCCGCGTCACCGGCATCCTGGAACCGCTACCGCCCTCCAAAAACACCGTGTTGGAGTTCGTGGACGAGACGGTGGGCACCAACGTGCCGAAGCAATACATCCCCGGCATCCGCAAGGGCTATCTGGCGATGGCGGAAAAGGGCCTTTTGGCCGGTCAAAAGTTGTCCGGTTTGAAGTTCCGGCTGACCGATGGTGGGCACCACATTGTCGATTCCAGCGAGCTTGCCTTCTTCCTTGCTGCCCAAGGCGCCATCAAAGACGGTAATTATAACAACACTGTACTACTTTCAATTTGCAGGAATAAGGTAGTCTGTGATGCACAGTGGTCCTGAACGAGTCATAGGTCACATAAAAATGACGCCAAAAACTGACTGCAGTATTGGAATAAGGATCTCCTCTGATGTTTAAAAATATGTATTTCAAAATTTTGAAGTTTTGCTTAATAATAATCCAAATATCAAACGTCAATTGGTAATTCATTTTAGGTTTTGTTATTATCTTTATCTACGCCAGTGAGATAAGAACTTCTTATCCCACTCATTTTGAGTGAGATAAGAAGTTCATTAACGCACGCGTTTTTCTCTGTTTTTAACCAATCAAATAAAAAAGTCAAAATGTCAAAATAACCCTAAATTAAGTCTTAGACAAAAATAATTACCGTTTATTTTTTCATTTAGAGGCGTAGATAAAAATTTGTACAATATACATGTGATAACGCTTTATTAACGTACTTTTGCGATTGCCCAACTCGTGCTACGCACTCGTTGGGCAAATTTCGCATGCGTACGTTAATAAAGCGCTTATCCCACTTATATCGTAAATAACTATTAAAGTGGAGGCCTTTGGAAAAAATGTTTGAATAAGGAAATAAAGGTGACTTAATTATCTATTAAATCATGCCTCCATAATTATGCCTAAAACATTGGCCTACGAAATCCATGGACGTAGTCGTGAATGTTTCATTTTTTTTGTAAATAACCTGCCCTAGGTTACTTTCAACATTGCAGCATAATTTTTCTTTCTTTAAAGAAATATAACCTATATAAAACAAAAAAGACAAGTAAGTACTTAATAATTGTCAAATATTATTGTTATGTTATCAACATTAGAAAAAGCATTGAATATTTTATTTATTGATGGGAACTCTACAACTCCTCTTTTTAACGACTCTTTGAAGTTAGGATGTGCCATGTTGTTTATCTTGTATTTATTTCAAAAATTTTATAAACTCGCGGTGGAAATTAGTACATGAATTTTTAAAGTTTGAGATATATCAGCAGCTTTAAACATAAATTCTAATGTTTGTATGTGCATTTTTATTTAGTCCAAATTTGCCGTTTTGGAGGAAAAATAATTCTCAACTAATTTATCCATAGTCTTAAATTTTTTGTAAGAAGAGTGTCAGGATGTTTCAGAAGCATTTAACTTGCATTTCCCTCAAATATTTCACCTTGGTAGTTCTTAGAGACCAAATTCAGTGTTTTAGGCCATCTAAACACTTGTTCTTTTCCCAGGAGTTTCACTAGTTCATTCCAAAATACGTATAGTCCAGTCATCTAGGCATTTCACCTCGGAATCTAACGGAATAAGCTGAATTTTTGTACAAACCTTTATTTTAGCATTGCAAATGTTGCCTCAAAAGTCACATATGCCAACGTGTGAGCGGCCTTAGATATTCAAGGTCAAAGGTCGCAAGAATCAATTTTTTGAGAATATCTCCTTTTCTCTGCCTCCTATCGTATTTGCATTTATTATAAAAGTTGTAGAGAATAAAATTCTCTACAAATTTTGTTTAAAACATTCTAATCGTTTTTGAGATAGAGGGCGCAGAGTGTGGAGCGCTCAGCCATATACGTATACGACGTATACTATACGTACCTTTAGCGCAAGGTAAATCATGAATCCCAATCTATTATACCGTTTTTTTAATTCATTACTTATTAATTATTGCTTAAATAACAATTTAATACCTTATATTTATTTTTATATATTTTTTTAAAACAAATAGTCATTCAATATTACTTACTTTTGACATACAAATAATTAAATAATGAAGTGAATCATTCTAAATATATTCTAATGTTATTCTAATTAATGATAAATGCATTTTAAGAAGAAAAGACATTAAATGAATTTGCCTTGAATATGCCTCTTGAATATCTCTTGGATCCAGATATTGCTTTTAAAATAACAGACCTGGAAATACTATAGTGGGCTTGCTATAAATAAAAAGGTTAGGTATACCTATATTTAAAGCAAGTTGTGACCCTAGGTATAGGTCTAGGGTTGTGACAGGTAATATTCGTAATATTTTAAAGGTTAACATGGCTGATTTGTGTTTTTTTGTAATAAGTTACTTTCTGAAGGTGATTCTGTGACTTTTGTGAGCGGTATAAAGACTTTAAAACAAGCAATTATTGAGAGAATTAAACATAAACTACCTAAATACTTTGACTTCTGTGAACGTTCATATTGAGTGTCAAAAATTGTACGCTGTAGCGTACTATCATTGAGTACTATAGTAAAATTGCAGCAGCAAAACGTCGCCTTGAAGAGACTGGACCTTCAACGTCATCGACTGTACCTCGTAAAAAAGGGAATGATGTGTTTGATTTTAAAATATTGTGCTTATTTTGTGGTGAAGTCGCAGATGAGGCAACAAAGGAGAAAAAATCTGCAAAGTACAAACGCGTTATAAGTAAGTTTTTGAAGATATGACAATTAATGTCAATGATAACGAGGAGAGTGATGATGAGAATGAGTCTGAAATTGCTGGCCAACCTGAAGAAGACGAGGATGAAGAAGATAAAGATTAATAATAATAATAATAATATTGATATAAATAAAAACATTTTTTCCTACTCCGATCCAATTATCCTTCATTAAAATTAAATTAAATATGAAGATAAAATATATTTGGTTTAAAAAAAATATGTATATGTATAAGGTATTAAATTTTTATTTTAGTAATATTTATTATATAATTAATTTAAAAAACGGTATAATAGATTGGGATTTACGATTTACCTTGCGCTAAAGGTACGTATGGCTGAGCGCTCCACACTCTGCGCCCTCTATATCAAAAACGGTTCGACGTATAAAAAAAAATTGTAAACAAATTTGTAGAGAATTTTATTCTCTACAACTTTTATAATAAATGCAAATACGTTAGGAGGCAGAAAAAACGAGATATTTTCAAAAAACTGATTTTTGCGACCTTTGACCTTGAATGTCTAAGGCCGCTCACACGTTTGCATATGTGACTTTTGAGACAACATTTGTAATGCTAAAATAAAGGTTTTCACAAAAATTCAGCTTATTCCGTTAGATTCCGAGGTTGATCCCTTTTTTTGACTAAGATGACTGTACTAGTAGGCAAAAGTGTTGCCTGGCAAAGGTGATGGCTAACTAGATTTTTTTATTTACTCCTTGTTGGCAATTTAATGTAAGCAACTGATGGTAGTATTATTGCGTGAGCGTATTCCTCAACTGAACATACATTAGGTACTTAGGTTTTTATTTAAGGGTCCTGCTTTTCTTAAATACACAGTTTTTTTAATAGATAAACCATTTACTGTTGTCCTTTCCTTTTTTTTGTGAAATATGGTTTCAATGAATGTGCAAAAAGTTTATAAACATTTTGTAATTAAAAAAAATTATATCTACTCCATTGGTTGCGGTTGTTAAAGCAAAGGGTAATACGAAAAAAATGCAAAAATTTTTTTGAAATCTTACAAATATGTACACTTATATCAAGAAAAAAGTAAATTTTCAAATCGGATTATATATAAATATATTTATTATGTATTATAATACCTGGTTTCCAAGGTACGGCACGCGGTTTTAGCATTTATTATAATAGTTTTAAGATTATAATCTTATAAAGTTTAGCTCTTTAAATTTGTAAATGATAGTCGATATATTTTTATTACAAAAATTAAAATGTAAGTTTTAAATTTTATAGTAATTTTTTTATTAAAAATGTATGGACTATCATTTAAATACCTCTTTACAAATTTAAACCAATTTGTTTTATCCTTAACAATTTTAAATTGATACATTTTTAACACAAAATTTATAACCTTACATTTAAATGTAAGTCGATAATTTTTAACTTACAAAGTGTAAACGTAGCTTTAGTCGTACGCTGTCTCTTTCTAGACTGAACATACATTAGGTACTTAGGTTTTTATTTAAGGGTCCTGCTTTTCTTAAATACACAGTTTTTTTAATAGATAAACCATTTACTGTTGTCCTTTCCTTTTTTTTGTGAAATATGGTTTCAATGAATGTGCAAAAAGTTTATAAACATTTTGTAATTAAAAAAAATTATATCTACTCCATTGGTTGCGGTTGTTAAAGCAAAGGGTAATACGAAAAAAATGCAAAAATTTTTTTGAAATCTTACAAATATGTACACTTATATCAAGAAAAAAGTAAATTTTCAAATCGGATTATATATAAATATATTTATTATGTATTATAATACCTGGTTTCCAAGGTACGGCACGCGGTTTTAGCATTTATTATAATAGTTTTAAGATTATAATCTTATAAAGTTTAGCTCTTTAAATTTGTAAATGATAGTCGATATATTTTTATTACAAAAATTAAAATGTAAGTTTTAAATTTTATAGTAATTTTTTTATTAAAAATGTATGGACTATCATTTAAATACCTCTTTACAAATTTAAACCAATTTGTTTTATCCTTAACAATTTTAAATTGATACATTTTTAACACAAAATTTATAACCTTACATTTAAATGTAAGTCGATAATTTTTAACTTACAAAGTGTAAACGTAGCTTTAGTCGTACGCTGTCTCTTTCTAGACTGGTCAATTTTAAGCATAGTCCATATAGTCGGTGCAACGTGCAAGCAGCATAATATGCAGTCAGCTAAAGCAGCGTTTACACTGATAAATCCATTTTTACATTTTAAGAGGATAGTACCGATTCTTACTATTTTTGATTAACGCTTTTGACTTCACAGCATTTTATCTAAAAACCGAAACAGAGATAACCCAACAAGAGCAACATTCCCTTTTAATAGTAGGAATAATTATGATAATCATATATTATATGATTCACAATCCACACATGGATTGTGATATGATTATAACTATAATATACTTTTTTCTTGATACCAGTGTACAGATATTGTAAATTTGAATAACATGAAAAAATGCAAAAGTCAATTTTTCTGAAAATTTTACGATTCCTCCGGTTTAATTTTTTTGGGAAATTTTAAAACCCCAACCACTGCCAAAAGTGCTATTTTGTCCTCGTCTTCTTCTTTCTTAAAACCAAGTGACACTTAACATTTTTTGTAGTTTTTGAGAAAGGTGTGTGGCAAATTTTGGAACCCATAATGTCGGTGGAGGTGACCGCACCAGATGAGTTTCAGGGATCAGTTATTGCCCAACTAAACAAAAGGCACGGCATCGTAACCGGCAGTGAAGGTACTGAAGGTTGGTTTACCGTGTACGCCGAAGTGCCCCTTAATGAAATGTTCGGGTATGCTGGCGAGTTAAGGTCCAGCACGCAAGGAAAAGGTATGCAAGAAAATATATATATTAAGCTCAGTTTTAACGTTATTTTTATTTTAAGGTGAATTCACTATGGAATACAGCCGGTATATCCCATGTTTGCCGGAAGTACAAGACAAGTTAATCCAAGAATACCAAAAACAAATGGGAGTGTTACCAGAAAAAGACAAAAAGAAGAGGAAAAATTAACTTATATATTATATAGGTGAAAATTTGTAAAATAAGCTTTAAATTTTAATTTATGTATGTTATAATTATTGTGATTGAATTAATTGCAGAATTTTTATTACCTCTCTGTAAATATTCCTCATATTTTGTTGTGTAATTTAATTTGTTACCTGAACAAGAAATAAAACGTTTTATAAAGTATTTCCAGTTTATTTTGGACTTAATAATAATTATACAAAATCATACAAATGAACTGCACTGCGCGTCAAAATTAACACATAATAAGTTAAAAAATTCTAACTAAAATGCCTTTACCAATCTTTATGAAATTTTGTATAAAAATACTTCAAATTATATCTCAGTTTACGTGTTTGAGGATTTTTCAAGAAAATATTTTTAAAGCCTTAATAATAAAAATAAAACGTTCAAAAATAACTTTAAGGAAATTTTTTTAATAAATAAAAAATATGCTGTTAAAGACCGTATTTTTGTTAGTATACCCTAAAAATTTTGTACAAATTAAACGAACAGTAACGAAGATGCAGCGCTTCAAAGTCGGCAAAAATGAACCCTTTTTGATTATTTTGCTAAAAAGTGGTCATTTTTGTCGAATTTGAAGCGCTTCAAATTCGTCAGTACTGTTCGTTTAATTTGTACATTTTCAGGGTATACTAACAAAAATACGGTTCTTTACACCATATTTTTTATTTACTTCAAAAAAAATTTCCCTATAAGTTTTTTTCGGAAGTTTTTTATTTTAAATAAAGGGGCTTTAAAAGTATTTATTATGCGTTAGCTTTGACGCGCAGTGTATACATAAAAAGAAACATTATTCGCCCTCTGGCGGTACTAGAGATCAATCACTGGTAAACTTGGCAAAGTGTTCGTATTGTTCTCACCACTGGAATTGGTACTACTAGGTAATTGGGGAGGCTTAGGTATGGTATTATTTGTACCATTAGAAGAAAGGTTTGCATTGGAATTGGTACTAATTGACATTAAGGAAGGCATATGCCTGGTAGCTTGTAAAGAAGAAGTGGTTGTACTAGATAGCTGAGTAGGTTTGGCGATGGTATAGTTTGTTTCTTTCTCAGAAGTGATATTACTAATTGAAACTAGAGAAGGCACAGGCATGCATTCCGTTGTAGCACCGGAAGAAGGTATGGTACTACCTGATAATCGTGAAAGTCTAGCTATGGTTTGCATTTTTCTTGTATATTCTCTGCCCAATCGCTGGTTATTTTTTACTTGGTTTCTCTTGTACTGCTTGGCCAACTGAAGCACCATGGTTCCCAATATTTTTCTTTCGAATTCATCATCGTCATCTATAACGATTGCTGTGTGGTATTTACACTTTGCCTTCCAATCTGCTCTTTTATATTGAACCGGTAAATATCTTTTCAAATACGGGTAGTAGGTTATCGGTTCTTTGTCGCCATTACCTAATTGAAAATTTTATTATTAGACTTTTTATTGTACTTTGTATTGTATTGTACTTTAGAATTTATTTTGAAAGGACGTAACATTTTTAGAGAATATTAAAATTTTAAGAAAATCATTACTTAACCCAAACCAAAAGTAAAGGGTACCTATACTAAAATACAACTCACGGCGACAATGTTTTAATTGTTTCACCCACACCAAAAATGTACATATTTTTAAAATGCATTAATCTACCCAGCAAACCCATAAGTCTGATTGTGTAATGGCCCATTACATAGTTTCATGGCTTAATAATGGCATTTTTAGCCAAAGCTTTCCTTATACTGGGCCTTTACAGGAATTTTTTAATAAAAAATATTAATTTTGATAAAAGGCCGTTGTAATAAGGTCTTGCAATGGCCCTTTTCAGGCTAATATTTGTATATTTTACCATTTTTAGTATCAATTTAATGAGACTAAAAAAACATTAAAGTGTCATGTTTTCTGTATATAAAACTTCCCAGCTAACATTGCTTGAGTTCAAACAAAACTCAAACCTTGATTTATCAAGTTTTGATGTTGTCTTGAGCTCACATTGATTTAAATTTTTGAGGTTAAATCAATGCTTGAGCTCCCATTGATTTTAATTTTTGAGGTTAAATGATTTTACCTCAAGAGTTGAAATCAATGTGAGCTCAAGTTTTGAGTTAACCTCAAAAAGTCGGTCCAAGGTTTATAGTCATAATTTATAAATTTATATACATATAGGTATGTAGAGGATGGATAAAAAAACCTTATGGGTATACTTCTGCAGAAAGCCTGCCATTATTTGATATGGATTTACAATACTAACATGTTAGTATTGTAAATCCATATCAAATAATGGCAGGCTTTTGCAATGGTTTAAAATATAATTTTAATAATAATAATTATTAAAAATATAATAATTGAACCAACAAGGATTCAATTTTTAAATAATATAATATTTATTAAAAATTTAATTTTAATAATAATAAATATTATTATTAATATTATATTTTTAAACAATTACAGAGCCCGCCTGCAGTTGCAATTGCAAGCTTTCGCGAATCGCGGGCTACTTTACCGGCTTCAGAGATTTTTTCGTGCATCTAATCTATGGCATCAATCACAGAAATAGAAGGTGGCATCAATACGCAAATTATTCTTGTGTCGTGAAAGTTAATATTATAAATAAATTGGTAAGTAAACTTAAAATCCGTTAGTTACTGTTTTCTTAAGGAAAACATTGTAAATAAATACAACAAAATCAGGAGAAAGCGAGGTTATAATAAAGTTTGTTATTAATGAAATAATTGGAGTAGATAAAGCATAGTATTACACTCGAGATAATGCGCATTATTAACTCGTGGGTAATAGGCTGCATTATCTCTTGTATAATAATATACTATTATTTTTAATTTCCTTTATTTGTTTTTAGGTCATCTGCTGAAAGCAGAATACTTCAAGAGCTTGCTGAAGTTCTGCCAAATCAAAGGTAAATAGGAAAATTCTTCAAAGCTTTGTCAAACAGAATTGATGCTTTGTATGAGGGGACCAGTTTTGACGCAAACATTTCCAGCATCCAACAGTTGAAGGGATTTCCATTGAAAAATTGGGCAGAATTTAACCAGTTCAAGTCCAGTGAAACACTTAATGAAAGAAAAAGTCTGGTGGGTTGAAATATCATCAACCTAATATAACAAGGTTGTATGTTAAAAAAAACGAAAAATTTAAGTCTATGTGTCTACAGGATTATACGTGGCCTACGCTTCACATACCACTTAATAATTCTATAGAATGTATATTGTATGTATACATATATATATATATATAGAGTTATTTTCAAGTTGTATGTCAAGGGTGGATTACATAAAACCTTGTAGAAGCATAAACTTAAATTTTTCGGTTTTTTAACATACAACCTTGTTATATTATAATATTATAATATATAGGGTGATGAAATTATGAATATGTGTTTATATTAAAGATAAAATTTTATTGCAGTTCATTTACCTAAAAATCTTGGTGCAAATATGGCTCTTAAAGAAACGATAACTGATATTTTGACAATGGAGTTCACCTTTCTGGGAAATAATAATAAAAGGGCCTTCATTGATACAAATTACAGCTCTTAAAGAAGCGATAACTAATATTTTGACAATGGAGTTCACCTTTCTGGGAAATAATAATAAAAGGATACAAAATTATTTCACGTAATCTATTGTAAGTCAATGTTTTCATCCTTTTTTCATTAAGTTTTAGTTTTCATTGGCAATTTCTTCTGTCTACAGTTGCTGTACAGGGTCTTGTTTTGAAGGCCCCACATCAAATAAAGAGTTCTTGCCACACATTCAAAAAGCATTAAGAATCAACAGACAACGTGAGGCAAACAAATTAAAAAAACAGCAGAAAACACCAGAAAGTGAAGCAACAAATGATAATTCTCAAAACTATAGTTTTGTATACAGAGTCAATAAGGATACTGTTGAAAAGGAGCAAATTTAAAAATTGTTTTTTTGTATATTTTAATATTTTGTTTATAAATTTTGGTTGTGTTTTAATTGCCTATTTTATTTTATGCAAGAAAACCTAAATAACTATATATAATTATGGGTTTTGAAAGGCAAAAGTAGTGTTTATTTGATGCAAACATATCCAAATTTAAAAAAATTATCAATTTAAATGCTAGCATTTAAGTTGGTAATTATTTAGATATGTTTGCATCAAATAAACAGTATTTTTTCCTTTCAAAACCCATAACTTGATTTTTTCAAATATTTGAATTAATCCGCCAAAAGTAGGCAGCGCATGCGCGCATCCGATTCGAATTTAATCGAAAATCAAGGTTTGATATCACATTGAGCCCAAATGAGGAACCAACTTGATATGTTTTTGACCTCAAAGCTTGATGTATAAAATCAAGTCTTGAGCTCGCATTGATATCAACTTGAACACCACTTTGTTAGCTGGGTTACATGAACCTTTAATATCCTTGACGCCATATTTTAAAAATGACGTAATTACTATAGTTTTAATAGTGTGTTATACATAAAAAATAAGAATAATGCCTAATGGTTGTTAAATTTAAATGAGTAAGTAGGTGCATTTTTAATTTTACAAATTTTAGAACTCTTACTACAGACAAAATATCAAAGAATTTAGTAGAAAGGTTTAACTGATCAAGTCAAAATTGGGGCAATTGCGAATAATAGATATTAATAATGGCAAAGAAAACCTGGTTTTCTTTGTTATAGAGGACAATCGACCAAAAAATGAAGGGAACATATTTATAAATATACAGTGTCTACTTAAGTTGGCAACATTTGGAAAACTTTTTTATTATTAATTTTAAGAAAAAAAGTTATTCTTCATAAAAATTCTGCATGTTCTAAAATACAAAAATCAGATATCAAATTTTTTCAGTCGTACACGCGGTTTGTCAAAAAATATGAATCTTATTCAAGAGTTAAGTACCTGACAATATCGGAAATTCTTATTAAAAAAAGTTGTTCAGAACTAAAAACTACGTTCAAGTATGCAATTTCCATTTACTTACATAAAAAAAACCATTTTTTGTTCACAATAACAATGCAAATGTAACTGTAGTTACATGTAATCTAGGATGCACTGACAAACAAATGATTTGTTGATAGCAAGAAATGTTTGACATTGAATGTCAGAATTTGCTTATTACTTTCTGGACGGAATGGTTATCATGTTTGTAATAAATAAAAAAGATAAATGTTCAGTATGTCATTTGAATTTTTAGAAAAAAATTTAATAGAAGGATGTAATTGCATATTAAAATATAGTTTTTCATTCCGAACAACTTTTCATAATTACAGTTTTTGATATTGTCACAAATAAAGGTACTTTATTCTTGTACCAAATTAATATTTTTTGTCAAACCTCGTGTTGATATCTAATGATTTTAGAACATGCAGCACTTTTTATAAAAAATAACTTTTTTCTACAACCAAGCGCAAAGAACAAATTTGCGCTTCCAAAAGAAAGCTTATAACAACAGCAAAAATGTTAATAAATACTTTTCTATGTGTTTTATTTTATGATAACCAAATACAACCTCTATGAATTATTTCGGATATTTATTTTTATCGCCATAGGTACCTACCATTTCTTTACTAAAAGTCTTATTAAGTCTTAAAAAGTCTTATTAACTCTTCCAGAAGACTCCCAAATCTTGCTATTAGTCTGACTTAATAAGACTTATTCAGACTTTTTCCGACTTAATAAGTCTTATTCTGACTTTCTCCGACTTAATAAGTATTATTCAGACTTTTTCAGAGAAAGTAAGACTTTCTCAGAGAAAAATTTCCACAAGGGTATGCTCTCAAATAAAACCATCGGCTTTTTAACCACATTCAAATTTCAGACGCACTGATTGTTAAACTCTTTAATTTTATACTTACGAAATTCACGGTTGTATTTGTAAGATTTACCCCGGTGTGGAAATGAGATACTTTTGCTGCTTATAACGCAATAAGGTTCTTCAACTAAAAAAATAATATTAGAATATTAAAATGTTCTTCATTGTATCACATAACCACTTAAATTTATATTTACCTGGCTCGACGTTTTCCTCGTGAACCTCCAAAACTATTGGCCGACTTCTTTCGGCTTCCTCATCTAAAATAGTAAAAAAATAATAACGAAACAAAATGCATTTAACTAAAATTATTACCGCTGTCGATAATTTCAATAGTTTTGATGGGGCCAACTATTTTTACATCTAAAAAAGATAATTTTTAGAGAATCTATTTTTTTTTAAACAAAAATCGTTGTTTACCTGGGTGGTTTTTGAATGTTGACTTTGTTTGCCCTATAAAATAAGTTATTAAGAAATTGTTAAATCATTAAAATAATATACAAAAAAAATATTACTGAAAAATATTACAAAAATCTCAAACATACCTTCATCAACTATTTCTAAAATTAGGATTAAAAAAATTATTTTACAAAAAAATTAGTTTATACCTATTGTGTGTGATATGTTATATGGGATGGGCACAGCCTTTCTGCTCAACAACTTTCTAGATATACTATAAAAATCATCATCCACAAAATGTTTATGGCAAATCATATAGTTGAAGTGAAATTTGCGACGATTTTGTGAAAAAATGCTGCTTTGACCAGACTTCTTACACCAACTTTTCCACCTAAAGCAATAAATAAAAAACTGACATGGGTGCCCATATAATATTTTACACAGACAGGCAAAATATTTTTTTTATATGAAAAATATCAAATTCGTAAACATTGTTTTTAGTCAAATACTTCATCATTGGTAGGTAATGTAGTAAAGTCATTGGTTTTTGTTATAAAACTCGTATAAATACCCATAGCTTCATTACCAATAATCCTTAATTAATGTATTTTACTAAAAAAAATTATATGCGAATTTGAATGTTTGCATATCGAAAAAAAACGTTTTTTCAAAATATCTTGAAAACAAGAGCTGATTGGACAAAATAATGGGGCACACAAATTACCCTAGAAATATTTACCCCACAGTTTGTAAAAAAATACATTGCTTTTAAAATTTATTAAAAGGTTCAAACATATCAAAAATATGAATATAAAATTATTTTCAATATATACATAATATTATTTCATTGGAATAAAACTACCTTGTTTAGCTATAAAGGTGCTTTAAAATTTTAGTGAAAAAATATTTATAAAAAAAAATCAGTTTCAGTATATTTTATACATACCTTTCCATAGAATAGGGAAACATAAAAAAATATACACCTTTAGTATTATTGGACTTGCAGTTTTTGTAGATGCAAACCATGTTTTTAATTGAATATAAATCATACTCTAAAAAATAAGTAAATGAAAAATAGTATTTTCAGTAGGCTTTAATAAAAACATTCATCTATTTTAAATCTTACCAACAATTTTAACGATGGAATTTTTCATTAGGTTAACACTGGGAAAAGCATCCTTTCTTATAGTTTTTCTATTGACATTTGTAAACATTTTGTAATCAAAATGATAAGCACACACCCTGAGTTTTAATGTTTGGCTATAATCGGTTACAAATAGATAATTTAGGACGTTCTTTACCCAAATTTCCCAACTAAAAAAGTAATTGCGTTATGAGTTGTTGAATTTTATTGTAAAATTAACATTTTTATTAAATATAATTTACATTTTCTTCCAACTCTTCTAAATGTCAGTTTTATAATTCAAAAAATCATTTTTCGGAAACTGAAGATGCAGGAATACGCGGATACGGAGCTCGGAATTGTAATAGTGCCCAAAGCCTCAACTCTGAGGTATGATATGGAGCATAATTTTTAAGATAGAAATTTTGTAACGTTTATTAAAATCAAAAAATTATACAACATAAATTTGTTACTTACATTTCTCTATTCTTCGGAAATTTAAATCGCGTTTTGGAGCCTTTTATTGGACAATTAATAACAGAACAACTTTCTCCTTCTTCACCCTCAGTTTCATCTTCTTCATCTATAAAAAACGCAATAATAAGCATATCTTTTAATGAAAATATTACTAAACATGTCTAATTTACTTTTTTGGCTAGTTTTATTATTTTCCATGGTCGTTGTTTTCCAATGCTCCTTGAATATCTTTGGTGTGGCAGTTTTTTTTAGCAGGGCTTTGCAGTCCTTGTAGAAACAATCGGGCGGAAAGTGGTCAGAGCAAATGAAGCATTGAGAAAAATTCGTTTTCTCGTCATTTTTCACCCTGCCTGTTGCAACCCTCCACTGAAAAATTCTATTTGCCGCGTAAGGAAAGTAAAACAAGCCCGGGCGTTTTTTGTTTGGACACAGCATGTAGTGACAATCTTTGTCCACCACTCCAAAAACGTAGAAATTAAATTGGGAATCTAAAACTATTCAAAAACTAATAGTTTTCAAAATTCGCATAAAAGTATTATAATTAATCTTAATCTAAACACTAAAAACTAAATCTCCATCTGTACCTGGCATATTTAATGTGGGCTTAGCATCTTCAACAAGCATTCCGTTTATTATCTTATCTTTTTCAAAATGTTTTTCACATATTTTGTGCGTATTAAACGACATATCCTTTAATTCAAAATTGCCAGTCAAAACCTTCCACATAAGTAATCTATCAGGTCTATCAATGGGAAAGCCATATCTTGGGCTGGATTGATCACAACAGCCCTGAACTGCACATGGCTAAAAATATATATACGTATATAATTTTTTTGTCTCAAAATAAGTGGATTTAACTCTTCCCACCTATATCCGCAACAGGGCTTTTTAAGGCAATTCGGTTTTTTGAATTTTTAATATTTGAAGTCAATCTGTTAAATAATTTTTTCTACTCCCCTAAAACGTCCATTATCGTACATGTTTCCATGACACTAAGTGACCTTTTAAATACACATTGACAAGTTTCGGCTTTATGGCGTTTTAGTCACGGGCTAAAGTTAACATCAGGTTTTTATTCACGGGCTGAAGTTAGCATTAAGTTATTTGACAGTTGTCAAATGTCTTACAATCGTTAAAATAAAGTGCCCTTCTTGTAAAATAATACTAAATGTGAAAATTATTTTATTATCTCAATACAAAAATACAAAAGCATTAAATAGTTTCTCAACGACAATATTTGCAAAGGTTTATATGAACATTGTATTGAGCTTTTAATTTCGCCGGCAGTAAACTAAATATAACTTAAAGTCGGGCTCAGACTGGACCGTAAAGTGGTAATAAAACATTTTCTTTACTTTTCAAGAGATAGGTACATTTTGATTTATTATCTTATATTTATAACATACAAATTTGACATTTAACGGTAACGAAGAATCCCCTATTGTTTTATAGATGGCGCTCTATACAAATACTTAATTTAAATCATTTTTAGATAATAATAAGTATTTGTAGTAGAAAAAGTATAGTATGCAACTCGTTTATAAACTTTTCTTGACACTCCTTAATTTAAATTAAATTCGTGTCTAAAATGGCGTTTATCAAACTTATAATATACTCTTACTATGAAAATTACACAGCTTAATATTCTTCAGAGACATCTATTATTATTGTACTAATGAAAATTAGGTTATGTAATTTTCATAATAATAGTTTATTATGTATCAAGTTTTATAAATTCCATTTTAGTTACGAGTTTTATTAGTCACGTGTTATATTATTAAAAATTATTATAAACGAGTGTCTAGATTTATAGTTATAAAACGAGTTGCATACTATACTTTATCTAGGAACGATGAACACAAAGAAGAGTTAAAAGCCATTTTTATTTGTTAAACATTTGACATCTGTCAAATGTCAACGGATTTAACCTTACTTTTCCCCAATTTATAATAAAGCTAACTTCAGCCTGTGACTAAAATTCCATGAAGTCACAACTCATCAATATATGAGTGGATAATAGTATATTATGTATCAAGTTTTATAAACGCCATTCTAGTTACGAGTTTTATTAGGTACGAGCGAAGCTTGCGAGCGGCATATATTGTTAGTTCCATTTTTGTTTAATATTGAAACATTTAATATATTTTCTTTACTAACAACTTTGCCTTTGTCATTTTTAGAATTAAGAGCACTTTTTATAGCGTTTGAACATTTAGGCTAAAAAAATAATAATGGTCTTGAAATCCCAAATACTAAAATTTCTATATCAGTCAATCCCTATTTTCAACCAAAAATTCAAACTTCAACTCTAGCAATGCTTTATATTTTTGTCCCCAACAATAGGGCCGTCGCACATAAGGCCGAATGTCTAAATTAGCGCGCCAAAAATAGAAAAACGAAATGTCTCCAAACTGGTCACAAGTGTCATCAAAAGGTTGGTAATAGACCAGGCTACAATAAACCGTAAGAATTTGTTTTTTTAACGCAACAAAATAGCTCTAGCATCATCGCAAAGTTGGCTTATCTTTGGCGCTGCCAATATGTATTTTATGTTTCTGAAGTTTTAAGATAATAATATGCTTGTCCTATGGTTCCAAATGTAAAATCACAAAGTTTTTAACATTGTACGTAGAACAATTAAAATATAAATTTTATAAAATAGTGTTTTTGATTAAAAAAATATTAAATGTTTACTTTAGCTAGAGTTATAAAAAAAGTTCCAACGAGTTCCCCTAAATTTATTTGCTGTTTGGATAACATATCTTATAACTAATTTAAAAAAGTAAATTACTCGTCCACATCGTTCCACCTTTGGTTTATAGAGCATATTATTTTAAGGGAGACGTAGTGACTTCGTTGGAAAAGAAATGAACAACATGAGAATATATATTACTGGATGTACCAGCACAGTTTATTGAAGGTTGAAAGTCGCGATTCTTCATAAATTACATAATATATTATATTATAACCGTATAACTGTAATTAATTAATTAATTAGTAAACGAAAACATACTCTTTTTATACAACTTAAAATTACAAGGTTAATTTCATAACATTATTTCGTATTATAGGTACCTTTACCTTTACCTTTAACAATAATTTTGGGAAAAAATTACCTTTTTAATATTTATTATAATATTAGGTATTTACCTCTATTCCAATATAAATTAATAACAAAATTTGATTATAAAACATTCTTATTAAATTAGCGTTTGATTGAGTTTATAGAAACATGAACATCAAAAGAGTTAAGTTATCGTCATTAAAGTGTAATGAACAATTAGTACAGTATATAGTTGACAAAATTGGTGTTGGTGAACTTTCTGAGCAATATACAAAAGAAATAAAATGTATAGTCAAAGTTTTTGTTACAAAGCTATTTGTGAAATGGCGTGAGTGTATACTATATATAATTATAATTACATATACAACCGTTTTACCAACAAAAATATGAAATGGCTTAATGGAAACGTTAAATTCCCAGAAATGCAGCCATACCAGTGTATATCAACACCACGAGGTAGACCAAGAAAAATATTTGAGGAGAGTTCTCAGCGCAGTAAACAAAGACAAGTGCAACCAATGGTATCAAAGCACAGTCCAGAAGAACTGTGCTTAGCTGCAGAAAGAAGCTTGGTAAAATCAGGAAAAAGAACTGCAGCCCAAGTTATGAAATTGGCAATTGAAACTACGCCCAAAGGACTAAAAAAAATGAAGGTGGAAAATGATGCACCTTCTGCGACTGTAAGACCGTACAACCCTGAAGAAGCTTTAGGTCTTATAGTGGGTTAACGAGAGAAGATTACACCACGATGCGACTTGGAGCAAAAGAAAGAGGTGCCGATATTTATCTCTCATAACATCTAATTGCAGAGGCAAAGAAGAAGTGTTAAGACTGCCTACCTTCTATGGTGATGATGAGGATGAGAAAGATAGTGAAGATGAGGATGATGTGGCTGTAAAATAATATTTTTGTAGGAATTATACCTAATTTATTAATTTAAAATACACCATTAATTAAATATGCAATTGTTTTCTTTTTATTAGCCAAACTAACCTATGTTATGCATTTTTCTAAAAGATAAGGATTAAGTAGGACCCTCATAAGGATTTCTAATCATAATTTATATATAATATCACATAAAATCCTATTTAATATTTTTGGCGCGCTAATTTAGACATTCGGCCTTATGTGCGTCGTTTTATATTAGATTAAAAGTGTATCACTGAAAAATTGAGCACTGAAGGTGTTTTGGGGATTGGGGATTATTGAGGAATATTGTTTTTTTTGTATGTTGTAAAAAATTAAAAAGTATATTTTGCAATTATTATACTTACAAAAAATACTTTTTAATAAATATAAAAAATCACCTACTTGGAATGCTTTAATATTATTATCAACTTTTGCAGGAATATTTCCATCTATTCCAGTTTTTAGAGTTGTTAAAAAATCTTCCACTTTATCATCATTACTAGCAGCTTTGAATTTTTTATTGTGAGATTCAAGTGTACTTCTTAAAATGTCTGAAGATCTTTTAAGCTAAAACAAAAAAATTTAAAACATAAAGAAAATCATAAAATTTGATAAATGTCTAAAATAAGTTTATTTTTAATGTAGAAAAATTTTAGCAAGCATTTTAGCTCCAAGTTTGTAAGAAAAACAAGCACAAAAGTTTGAAAGTCTCAAAATATCATTTCCATGGTATTTTCTTAATATGTAGGTGTGTTTAAAAAAAATAAATAGTGTTGTTTTTGCAATAACAAAAATGTGCGCAAATTGCAGGAAGAAATAATGAAATAAAAATCATTTTCTGTGCTATGACAATTTTTTTAATCCCAACTCTTAAAATTAGAATTTTGTTGAATTTTTATTTTAGCATAATCTAAGGAATGTATCTGATTTAAATTATATATTAAAGTTTTACTTCTAGCAAAGCTTTACTTCTAGCAAAATATGGTCTCAAATATTTGTGAAATAAAGTTATGTAAATAATATAAAGAAATAAATAAGGAAAAACTTTCAAATTAACGTTTTTTTCGGTTTTTTTGTAAATGGTAGACTTTCAGAAGTAGGTATATTTATTTTACTCTTTATTTAGCTTCTTTTTATATTTAATTCTCACCTTTTAAAGTGAAACATATTGAAGAAATTTACTTACATTGGGTTTTATTTTAACTGGTACAGGATTGGTTGCTTTTGATGAGCTTGGTTTATTGGCTTCCAATGGAGTAATAATATTTGCATTGGATGTACTGGGTTTATTTACTTCAACAAGCCTAATAATATTGTTTGATGTACTTGCTACGTTGACTGTATTTTTGGCTGGGATAAAATTCATAACATTTTTTTGTTTATTAACTTGAACTGGTGTAATATTATTTAATAATGCAACATTTGGCATAAGATTTATAACTTTTGAGTTTGGTTTTCCCATTATAGGTATTAAATTAATTATTTTTGATGTATTTGGTATAAATTGTATTGGTGTAAGTTTTCCTAAAATTGTTGGTTTTTGCCCTTTGTTTACAAGTTTGGCTTTAACTTCCTAAAATAATGTTTAGATTATTTTTTTATACTAAAATGTTTTAAAACTTTAGAATATTGAGAGTTTTGACAATTTGCAACCAAAAAAACAAAAACTAGAAGTATAGGGCTCCATAATAATATAATGGTATGAATTTCAATATATCCTCCAATTTTGAAACCCAGTTACTTACTGGTATAACAGCACTTAAATTTGTTGAAGTTTTTGGAGGTTCAACAACTAAAAAACGCGGATCATCAGGGCTAACCTAAAATTTATTTCAAACAATTATTTTATCAAAAATAGTTTTCACATCAATTAAAAAAAAACACTTACAGGCCCTTCAAAACTTTCTAACTGAACTTCTTCTATTTTTATTTCATCTTCAATATTTTGGATATTAACACACTTATTTGGAAAATTTTTAGTTGGAACTGCATCACACTGTAGACGAGTCTTTTCTTTATCTAAAAACATATTTTCTTCGAAATGCTCCTCACACACTTTGTGTGCAGTTTTATACAGATCTTCTACTTTCAAATCCCCAAATCTGTCAAGATTGCATGCTCTTTTCCATAATTCAGCTCTAAAATGCAAATAAAACTTAAGATAAAATGTTTGTAATTGTTATTGTAAAACCAAACCTTTTAGTGTCTTTGGGAAAGCGAAATAATGAGAACCTCTTTCTTTTGTTTTGAATTTTACACCCCAAAACACAACAAATACCTTGAAAGTGTATTAATTTTATTACTTTTTCCTCCATAATAACATCCAGAGACAAGTTTCTGTCCGATAACAAAACAAATTGTGCAAATTTGTTAAACAAAACACTACATTGAGGTTATGTCATATAACAAGAAGTATAAAGGTGCCAGTGTTGCCAATAGATGTCGGCTCAATGACCCCGCAACATATACTTACCAGTATATGCCCCGCAATTTAAAAGGTTTGTTTCCACATCAAATCCCAAACATGTTTCTTACAATTTTCAAAAGATTCTTGTGCGCATGAAAATATTGAGCATTGCATTATTTTTGTTTAAAAATAATTTATTTTAGTAAATATTACTGAGTTTAGTATTAACCTATTTCATTTCTTAACTTAATTTTAAGCCTAATTTATAGATTGCCTATCTTCCTTCCTTCCTTCCTCCCGTAGAAGATGAACAATACAAAAACAAGTGTGCTGTTTAAAGATTCTATAAATGGCACTTCGATTTTCGTATTGTTCATCTTTTACGGGAGGAAGGACGGAAGGCAATCTATAAATCAGGCTTTACTGGTATATAAAGTATTTCGCCCACGGGCTGAAGTTAAAATTGAAGAAAAAAACTGCTTGACAGCTCTCTGGTGTCAGATAAAATATCAAATAAAATTGGCTTAAAATTCCTTGCGGTAAATAAAATATTATGTGCGACGGTCAAAAGAGGAGATTCCACTCCACACTCGAGAAATCCCCTCTTTCTCCAACGTCGCACAATCTACTATACAGGGTGTTTCATAATATATGCGCAGGACTTCAGGATGTAATAGCTCATCCAAAAAGATGAAAAAAGTCGTTATTAACTTACGCTCTAAAATGCACAATTTTCGAGATACGGGGTGTTGAAAGTTTAGAAAAAAATTCGTTTTTTTCGAATATCTCCGGAACCGTTTATAGTACAAAAAACAGCTTTTGTAAGCATTTTTTACTCAAAATAGGCTATGTTTTGTGCCAGAAAAATTTTTTTTTTCCTCATAATTGGTGGAGATTTTGAAGGGGTAGCGGGTGTTTTTCCCCTTAACTTCTACGCCCCTGAAAAAAGTACGGTTTCGAGAGGCCCATTCGAACCGCCAATGTTTTCTACACAAAAAAGGTACTCCTGGTCATAAGCTCTAAACTTGACCGTTTTCGAGAAAAATCAACTTTTATGTTTAAAAACATGGTCATTTAAAAAAAAAAAATTTTTTTTACTAATTAAACAAAATTTATTTTAACATTAGAACAAGTAACAAAACCAAACCATAATTGCAAAATAAAAAATGATTCAAAAGTTGTCTTTGCTAAATTCTCCAAACCGTAAAGGTAACGTATTTCGCACATTTCAGCATTTGTGTAAAAAATCATTTTTTATTTTTTTTTTTAATTTTGCAATTATCGTTTGGTTTTGTTACTTTTTCTAACGTTAAAATAAATTTTGTTTAATTAGTAATAAATTTTTTTTTTTTTAAATTGACCATGTTTTTAAACATAAAAGTTGATTTTTCTCGAAAACGGTCAACTTTAGAGCTTATGACCAAGAGTACCTTTTTTGTGTAGAAAACATTGGCGGTTCGAATGGGCCTCTCGAAACCGTACTTTTTTAGGGGCCTAGAAGTTGAGGAGAAAAACACCCGCTACCCCTTCAAAATCTCCACCAATTATGAGTAAAAGACACAAAAGATAGCTTATTATGAGTAGAAAATGCTTACAAAAGCTGTTTTTTGTACGATAAACGGTTCCAGAGATAATCGAAAAAAACGATTTTTTTTCTAAAATTTCAACACCCTGTATCTCGAAAATTGTGCATTTTAGAGGGTAAGTTAATAGCAACTTTTTTCATCTTTTTGGTTGAGCTATCACATCCTGAAGTCCTGCGCATATATTATGAAACACCCTGTATAGTATATAAATAGTTATTTTTGATATTTTGAAGAAAAGTCATTCTTGATAAAATTTTACTACAGGGTGTTTAAACTGTGGAATAAATATTATGTTTTCCCAACTTTTAAACACTGTATTTAAAATCCCAAATTTTACTACTATAGTAGTTTGATTTGATTATCAAAAAAATATATTTTTTTGATAATCAAAACAATTTATTAAGAATGACTTCTTAAAAAAATAAAAATATATAATTTCCGTCGTAATTTTTGCATTCAAACTTTAATTTTTATTAGCACATCTTTTTAAACATTTAAACATTTTCAAAAAAATTAAAATAATTGGCATGCGCATTTTAATATTTTTCATGCGCACTTTACATTTTTAACACCAAATTTTAAAAAGCGCATGCCTAGGATGTCCGGAATTAGTTTGGAATTAGCTCCGCGAAAATAGCTAAATTAGCTAGCATAGAAAAAGGATATTAGCTAGTATATTATGCACCAATGGTCGATTATGAACGAGCATTCGTTTGACAAACGAGCGAAGCAAGCGTGACAAGAATGCGAGTTCATATTTGACCATTCTTCACGAGTTTGTCCCACAATCAAATCAAAAATTAAAAAAAAATATTAACGAATCGTAGTTTGAACTAACCTTAGTGGTATTATTGACAGATGTGTTTTTGTTATGAGGTTAATTTTATTAACATTAAATAAGTAAATAATAATAATATAATATAAATGAAATAAATATATATTTAAATACATAAAGTTTTTTAAAATAATTTAGTTGGTGTCTCTTTGGCTTAGAATTAAAGTTTTTAATCTGGTTTTAAACAATATTTGAGATAGGTTTTTTATTTTCACTGGTAGTTTATTATTATTACCTTAACAAGAAATAAAACGTGTTAAAAAATATTTACAATTTATTTTGGTCTTAATAATAACAAGATCATACAAATGAGGTTCAAATAAATAAAAATAAACATTCTACACCCTCTGCAGGTACTAAAGATCAATCGCTGGTAAACTTGGTAAAGTTTTCGTATTGGTTGTATCACTAGGGGAATTGCTACTGGGAGATAATTGAGCAGGCTTAGGTATGGTATTATTTGTACCATTAGAAGAAAAGTTTGTATTGGTATGGTTTGTACCATAGGGTGAATTGGTACCACTAAATAATTGAGGAGGTTTAGGTGTGGTATTATTTGTACCATTAGAAGAAAGATTTGTATTGGAATTGGTACATAGCAAAACCAAAGAAGTCGTAGGCATGGTCCCATTGAAAGAAGTGGTAATACTAGATAACTGAGTGGGCTTAGCGATGGTAAAGTTTGTGCTACTAAAAGAAGTTACGTCACTAGTTGAAACTGGAGAAGGCACACCACCGGAAGAAGGTATGGTACTACCTGATAATTCAGAAAGCTTAGCTATGGTTTGTTTTTTTCTTGTAGTTTCTCTGGCCAATCTCCTATCCTTATTTATTCTGTTCTTCATGTAATGGTTGGTCAATTGAACTGCCAGGGTCTCCAATATTCTTCTTTCGAATTCATCATCATCATCTATAACGATTGCTGTGTGGTATTTAGACTTTTCCTCCCAATCCAATTTTTTATATTGAACCGGAAAATATCGTTTTCCACAATGCGCGTAGTAGTTTATCGGGTTGCCTTTTTCACCTTTACCTAATTAAAGATTTTAGTATTAGTATTGAGTAAATGGTAATAGGCTTTTTATTGCATTTTGTGTACCAATTAGTTTAGAATTTATTTTCGAAAATAAATGCATTAATGCATTTAGGAAAATTATTCAAAACCCAAACGAAAAGTAAAGGGTATACTAATATAATACAACTCAAGGCGACATGTTTGAAAAACCTTTGCATTCAATTGTGTTTAGTAATGTTTGAAGTTTCACCATGGAACATTTTATTCTACCACAATATTTAGAAAGTGTTGGAAACTTATTCAAGAAATTCGAGTTCTGTTTAAGCAACTTATAGACCACTTTCTATTTCCTGGTGAGTGGGGTTGCCGATTTAAAACCTGACTTTTTCGTCTTATATGCGTTTTTTAGACTTTTATCTACTTTAGTTTTATATTTAAGAAAATGTTTTTCTGATAGTTAAATGTTTACCCTACACCAAAAATTTACGTAGTTTTAAAAACGCATTAATTAATGCGTTAATTCATTGAATAGATAGAATATATAGATTAACCTATTCAATGAATAGTAAAAAAATTGAACCGGATGGGAAATTTTCAGAAAAATTGTTTTTTGCATTATTTTCATTTTAATCAAAGGGTAAAAATGCAAGTCAATTTTTCTGAAAAAGTGAATTTTCGACGCTTATTATATAATATTATGATTATAGTAATTATTCCTTTTATTTTAATTCAGTAAGAATATTATACCGGGCCGAAAAAAAACATATTCGGTGCTGTATTAACATAACTTTCGTTTTATTTGAGTCTTTGATTATAAAATTATAATTTTTTAATTTAATTTTAATTCATTATTTTGTATTTAAATATTTTCAATGGGGTGCTTTTTGCAAAAAAAGATACAACCGACAATATATTTAACGTTTATTTTTTTAATTAAAATAATGTTAAGACATTGATTGCTACCTTTTTAAAATATGTATATTTTCAAAAAAAACGATATTTTCCCAAAATGCCAATTTTTCCAAAGCCTGGGAAAAAAACGGAAAAAACATATACTTACATATTTCACGATTGTTTCTGTAAGATTTACCCAGGTGTGGAAATGAGACACTCTTGCTGTTTATTATGCAATGAGGTTCTTCAACTAAAAAAAAATATTAGAATATCAAATTTTGTCTTATTGCATTCCATAACCATATAATATTTATATTAACCTTGTACGACGTTTTCCTCGTGAACGTCCAAAACTAATGGTCGATTTATTTCTTCTCGAATCTCGGTTTCCTCATCTAAAATAGTAAAATAATAATAACAAAACAAAATGCATTCAATAAAAATTATTACCACTGTCCACTATTTCGATAGTTTTAATGGTGGAGACTATTTGTACATCTAAAAAATATTATTTAATTTATGTATGTATTTAAAAATGTTTTAAAAGTGTGTTACCATCATCAATTTCAGACAGGGTTTTTAGAAGATCTGTAAAATATTTTTTAGATCAATTTTGTTGTTAAAATACAACATAATTTTTTTACCTGGATATGTTTGGAACGTTGACTTTGCTAAAATAAGTTATTTAATTATTGAAAGT